GTGCTTCTCTGTGGAAGAGATGTCAGCAGAAGTGAGCACTGTAAAACCCAAGCATGAGTCTGGGTCTAGTCCTTCTTCATCACAAGCAAACCTTTGCATCCCTCTCATCCATCAAGGTCATCAAAGCCAAGGTGGTGGTGGTACTGAAATGAGACATTTAAACCAAAGACATGATGGTCCAGAGATGGCCTATTGCAGAGATGACACTGAATGGACTCAGCAGGTTGTATTTATATAATTATATGTATGTATATATGTAGCAGGAATCTTAAAAGTTCTTATTAATAAAATCAAACCCAAGGCGAGTTATTGGGGTCCATGCTGGGAGATCAGAGAGACAGAATAAGCCACAGCTATCTCACCTTGCCAGTTCCTCAGCTGGTCCTGTTTCCTCAGACTGGAAGCCTCTGAGTCCTCATCCAGAATGAATCTCAGCTGAACTGTGTTGCTCCATAGCCTGAAAGCTTAACCAGGCCAAATGCTTAACCAGCCAAAAGCCTCTAGTTTCTGGTCCTCACGCCTTATATATCTTTCTACTTTCTACCACCACACCCTGGGATTAAAGGCTGGCTTTCTGGGATTAAAGGTGTGTGTCACCATGCTTGGCTATTTCCAATGTGGCCTTGAACTCACAGAGATCCAGAGGGATTTCTATCTCTGGAATGCTAGGATTAAAGGCGTGTGCTATCACTGACTAACTAGTGGCTTGTCTGTTCTCTGACCCCAGGTAAGTTTATTAAGGTACACAATATTTTGGTGAACACAATACCACCACATATATATGTAACAATAAGAAAGAAAAAACGAGGAGGAATCATAGGCTGGAAGCAGACCAAGTTCAGATTTTGGCCACGGGGACCCCTGTATTGACTGATTAATTCATGGGAAAGAGGCTAAAAGACTTACAAATGTTGAATGAATTCATACCATGCAGTACATAGGAGCTCAAGAGGTATTTTTAAAGAGTGAGCTAATTCATCCCAACCTGAACTCAACTCAGTGTCCCATGATGGGAGTGGGAAGGGGAGGGGAGGAGAGTCCAAGGCACATGGGTGGTAATACATTAAGTACATCCCGGACATGAGCATGTGGGTCAGCCTGAGTATGGGAACAGAGCAAGTGGAAGCACACGGTGTGGAGTGGACAGGTGGGAGGAGTATCCTGGGTGGCTTGCTCAACCTTGCTGGTCTGTTCCTTGTGCTATAATGAGAAGAGTGGTAGTTGCCAGCTCAGACATTTGAACATTAGATGAGATAATAGACGCATAGGCGCATAGATAGATACATAAGGACATAGATCTTAAGGAGTAAGAAATGGTAGCTTATGTTATATTGGCATCTATAAAACACATACATGTGCCCTGATGGTGAATCTGCTATATCTCCATTGAGTAGGTCTAGGCTACCATGATTCCCATCAGGACCATTTCCTCATAGACATCAAAGCTTGTCTCGTTTCCCATGGTCCCTTCTTGTCTTCTTTCATGTCTTTTTCCTGGAATCTGGTTGGAAGCCCTGAAATTCAGCAGACTTCTGGTGCCAAGCCAAGGGGATCTCTGGGGAAAATTGAGGGAACAGATCCTGTTTGCCACGTTTTCAGCAAAATCTGAACAACTCTGACACCGAAACAGAAGTGGTTCCCCAGTTCTTTTATTTCCACCATACACAGCTTATAACATGGTAGAACTCAATTCACAATCGTAGCTAAATTTGTGTGACTGCATGATATTTATCTCCTCCAGTCCTATGAACTGCTGAGTCCATTTACCATTGCTTGTATGTATTATTATTTCAGGGCTGGCCATTTGGTATTGGCTAGCCAATTAGGGGGCTCCGTCTTGATGAATGAAATATGACTGGCTACTACAGGCTACCACAGAGCAGAATCTGATAATGATAAAAATACTGACCGGCATTTACTGAGGCTCCACTATATGTAAGGTCATGTGCTAAGCAACGTGAAGCCTTATCTGGCAAGTGGGAAAACAAGCTACAACAATCAATACAGTGTCCACAGTCAGTCACGGATGAGGACAGGTGTGGACTGTGTGCAGCACATAGCATGTTCTGCCTCCTTCTTCAACTCTCCCTATCCTCTGGCTGATGAGACGTTTGACTTGGAGTTTCCAAATCCCAATGCTAACAACATTACTGGGAGCTAAGACAAATGGGAAATGTCTCATGTAGTTCTCAACTAGGAGGGTGCCAGCCAGGAGCCAGGAGCTACAGAGTAGGACCCTATCTCAAGCAAGTGATAGAGAATGAATAGATAACAGGTTTTACAGGTGGTCATTCTAATACTGCCATGCCTGTGACTCTCTCTACAAAGAGTATGATAAATAGATTAGTTGTTCGTTCCTGAAAGAGGAAGAGGAGGAAGGAGGAGGAGGCAGCATCATCGGCAGTAACAACAGTAGGGGCAGTGGCAGCACCCAGGGCCCTTCGGGGATGCCTCCCTGAGACAGTGAGCCTCTCTTGCTCCTGTTCCAGTGAATTTCCTAATTCTCATTGCTAAGGGGTTTGTTGTTGTTGTTGTTGTTGTTGTTGTTGTTGTTGTTGTTCTTTTAAATTGTTTTGTGAGTGTTAATGTTTGAATTTGGTTCCGGTTTAATGCAGCAAGGTTTGAAAAGGAACTGCTGTTCTTGGGCTCTCTCAGCAATGAATGGCCTTCTGCCATGCAAGTGAAAGAACACACAGGAAATAAGCTGCCTTGGAGGCCCGCTAACCCGGCAACCTCAGGCCAGGGGTTGGCTCTAACTCAGACCTTCATGTAACATTTACTAGGCTGAACCATAAGCGACTGCCATTTTTATAACTGAGTCTCATTGGCAAATGCATACGTTAGACTTAACACAGGCGAAGAACCCAACAGTCAAAGACTACTTAATCTGGCTTTAGACCTAGTCAAGCAACAAACATTTCTTGAACATCTGTCAGCATGACTATAGGTACAAGGAAAACTGCAACCAAAATCCTGCTCTCAAAAGTCTTGCCTCCTCGTTAAAGAGATGAAACAAACTCATATTATTAAACAATAGTGTTCAAGCAATAGAAAATATGATAAGGGCCACCGTGTGATGGCACATGCCTTTAATGTCCTGCACCAAGGAGGCAGAGGCAGGCAGATCTCTGTGAGTTCCAGGCCAGCCTGATCTACAAAGTGAGTTCCAGGATAAGGGCATCAGAAAAAAAGAAAAGATCCCTAGAGGTGAAATGTGTAGTGAAGGTTCATGAAGAACATGAATCAATGAATAAGAAAACATCGGGCATTGTGTAAAAAGAGGAAATTCAAAGATACAGCCCATGTACCTAATGGAAGTCAGAGAGAAGAATTGGATGCCATTTACGAAGGTTTCAGTGACGTGTTGAGGAGTAATGTCAATGAGAAGTGGAAATCAGCCACAGCCAGCAAGAAAGATCCTGAGACTCTAAAACCGCGAGTAAGTGGACAACGTTCATGAAGGACACTGCAGCCACCATTTACATGTAAGGACACCTGGGGCACCTAAGTCACCCAAAGGACAACCTAACCTTAGACCTAAGAGTCTGGAGCTTTCCTACACCACAATCCAAGGAAAATGAAAACACATGTCCTTGTACAAAAAGCTGTACATGAATATTCACAGTGCCATTATTTGTGTCTGTGGGAACAGCTCAAATGTTCATCAACTTATCAGTGGGTCAACAGAACACTGCAATCCCATGCAATGATTTATCCAGGCAAAGAACATGCCACAACATGGTGAACTTTGCAAATAGTATGGTCTGTTAAGTCTGGCACAAATGATCTATGTTCTATGGTTGCATTTATGTGAAATTGCTAGCAAAAAGAACCCAGAAAGTGGATTAATATTTGCCTAGAGTTATAGGAATGGGAAATAAAGGGTTTTGTTCTGGTGGTTTTTGTTTTGTTTTGAGAAGGAGTTGGTAGAAACATCTGAATTTAGATTGTGGTTTGATTGCACAAATACATCATGATACATAAGACCACTGACTTTTGCATTGTATTTTAGAGTAATATAGATTACATGTTTTAGGAAAAAACTGAAAAAAGTGTTTAAGCATGTAAAATGACTCCAAGATCTTGGGATGTAGCTAGCGGTGCTTGCCTAGCATACCTAAGACTCTGGGTTTGCTCACTAACACCATAAAAAAGGAAATGGAGAAGAGACAGGCGCAGACGAAATTCTAAACAGTCTTAGGAAATAGCCAAAGAGATCAGAGCAATAGCCACGACTAGCTTTAGCTTCCCCAGAGAGAGACCTCTTCCTGTCTAACCTGCACTTTTATTGCTTTCCTGTTCTGCCTTCTGGCTCTTAGCCCAGCTATATGACTTCCTCGTCATTGCCCGTCTATACAGACCTCCAGGTCTCTATGATTGGTACTGGGATTAAAGGTTCGTGTCACCAAGCATGGCTGTGTCCTTGACCACACAGAGACTCTGCCTGCCATGTAATTGGATTATAAGGGCGTGTGCTACTACCGCCTGACTTCTGCTTATGGCTCACTATGACCTCTGATCTCCAGGCAACTTTGTTTATTAACATACAAATAAAATCACATTCAGCCCAAATAAAATATCACCATAGTCAGGGAAGAAAGGAGGGGAGATGAAAGGAAAAGAAAAAAGAATCCTGAGATGTCTCCAAGTATGGACATGCACATGACATCCAGAGAGGAGGGCAAATGTGATCCAGATCTTGGGTTTTCTTACAGCAGTGTCCCAGCAAGCAGAGTGTTAGGTCCCATGCCAATTCCTTGAAAACACAGCAATCCATCAGGTTTGGGGTTTTTGTTTGTTTGTTTGTTTGTTTTTGTTTTTTTCTTTCTGTTTCCAGGGAGCTAACACTGTTGGCAACTTCTTTATATTCCACAGACACCCGCCCTACATAGAAACTCTGAGCTCACTGTTAGCTCTTCGGCTGGCCCAACTTTAGAGTCTGTTCACAAGCCTGTGCTGTATTCATCATGCTTTGCTTTTGTTTTTCTTTTGTTCTACAGTTTTTGAAGAGCCGGAAGACCCAAGCAACAGATCGTTTTTCTCTGAAATTATCTCTTCAATTTCGGATGTGAAGTTCAGCCACAGTGGGAGGTATATCATGACCAGAGACTATCTGACCGTGAAAGTCTGGGATCTCAACATGGAAAATCGCCCCATCGAGACTTACCAGGTACAGAACACTCCCTTTGAGGGCTTCTACATCAGCCTCCGCCTGCAAATGGTTGCGGTACAGAGAGATAGAAGGCTGTTCATAGTGATGTGTTACATAAAATACTACAGGCTACAAGTGCCATAGGATTTAAGGATGCATGGGGACTAGCAACAGTTACAGCCTGAAAATGTTACATGGGATGGGTACCATAGCTAGAGTGAGCAAGCCAAGCACAGCCTTGCTCTCATGAAGCTCTCTAGTGAGGAAGCTGACTGATAAACAAAGGAGCTCACTGCCTTTGTGCAAGGGATGGTGCTGAGACCCGGGGAGCCCAAGGCAGGGAAACCTTTCAGGGTGAGGACGAAACCGCCATGAGCTAGTTAGCAAAGTCGTGCGCTTAGAAAATACCATGGCCAAAGACCTGGGGTAAAGAGAACTGTGGTTGGAAAAGTTTTCCTTGAACAGTCAGGCATAAAGTTGAGCCTGAAGATAAAAGCGGGGCCTGGTCCTACAAATTCTGGTGCTGAGAGCTTTACTTGTCTCTGGCTGGGTACCCTGGAGATCTGTAGAAAGGTTTTCTACCAGGAAATGGCATTGAAAACAATGGGTTTCAGTTTACAGTGTGACAGGCAGGCTGCAGGGAAGGAGATGGTGCTGATGTGGGCTGATGACGGCAGGAGGATGGAAGGATGGGGAGGATGGAGAGGCAGTGGCATCTGCTTCTCCTAGACTGTGACAGGGTGAAAAGTCAAGGACCCATGTAAGAAGTTCTTGCCTTAAGCACTGGGTAGAGGGTGGCAGAATCACTCTTGGAGGGATCAAAGGCATTGCTCAGGGTATTTTTATTGAAAGAGCTTGAACAGACCTGGAGGTAGAAAGGATTTAAAAAAGCCAGGCAAGGGACAAGGAGAAGATGGATCAAGGGACAGAAATAGCTGCTCTTATTTTTATATATCTTTAATTAGATAAAAAGAAATGAGGCAGGGAAAGGGGAATCTAGGCAGACAGATTTGATTGATATTGTTTTACTTGAGATACAGTTCATCTATCACAATATTCACTCATTTCAGAATACATAACTCCCTGGGTTTTAGGATATTCAGAGTTGCAGAGCCATGCCCAACTCCAGAACATTTTGTCACTATGATTTTAAAACATCATTCTAGTTGTACTGGGGAGGAAAAACTTTGGCAGAGACAAGTGAAGAGACAGAAAGAATAAATTTGAACATTTTTACACTCTATCTTAAGGGTTTCTATTGCCATGATGAAACACCATGACCAAAAGGCAAGTTGGGGCTTAGAAAAGGGTTTATTTGGCTTACACTTCCATATTGCTGTTCATTATTGAAGGAAGTCAGGACAGGAACTCAAACAGGACAGGAACCTGGAGGCAAGAACTGATACAGAGGCCATGGTGGGACGTGGGAGGGGCTGCTGCTTATTGGTTTGCTCCCCATGGCCTGATTTCTTATAGAACCCAGGACCCACAATGGTCTGGGTCCTCCAGCAATGATCACTAATTGAGAAAATGCCATACTGCTGCATCTCACAGAGGCATTTCCTCTCTGAGGCTCCTTCCTCTCTGATGACTCTAGCTTGTGTCAAGTTGACACAAAATCAGCCAGCACACAGTCTTTGGCAAATGGGTGATAGCATCTCAGATGAGGGGGTGAGCAACAGAGGTCCCCAGATTTCTGATGTAGTTTCTAAGGTAAAATTGTTTAGAATCTGATGTATGTTGTAAGAGGGGAGATGCTGGGAGATAGCCCATGGTTTACCATCTTTAACCACTAGAGGTGGAGTCGACTTTTGATTTAGATGAGGAGATTGAGAGTTTTCTTTTAAACATGTTAAACACAAACAAATGAGAGGTGAATAGCCCAGGGAAAGTACAGGAAAGGCCCTCAAAATCAGTAGAATCAGAAGAAGCCCCCTGGGCACATTTAAAGAAGAAACTGGGGCCTGCTCTTGGGGCCAGGTGTTTTCATGGTTGAACACAGGGAGATGACTTGGCAAAGGAGACTGAGGGGGAGGGGCCAGAGAGGTATAAGGAAAACTCAGAGGTGTGTTCAAGTGGATGAAATCTCAGGGTGGAAACAGCCACCAACCACGCTGTTGCTAAACAAACAAACAAAAAAACAAAGCAAAAACAAAAAAAAAGGTGGGGGCGGGGCTTAGCAATGAATGCTGGCTTCCACATGCAGGCAGAGGTTACCAGTACCCTAACAGAAGAGTGTGGCACAGGGCCATCTGATCAGATCACTTCAAGAGACTGTGCAGAGAGGGTATAAGCACAGAAGCTAGCTACTCTCCACAGATTTTATCTCGAATGAAAACAGAGTAGATGGGTGGGTGGAATGTGGGCTGCAGGCAGAAGGAAGTTACAGTGTTTGGGTGCTGGTGGGAATAAACAGTGGAGAGACAAGGGAGGGAGCTGAGTCCTTGTGAGATACAAGAAGGGATGGAGCCGGGCGGTGGTGGCGCACGCCTTTAATCCCATCACTCCACTCGGGAGGCAGAGGCAGGTGAATCTCTGTGAGTTTGAGGCCCACCTGGGCTACAGAGTGAGTTCCAGGAAAGGGGCAAAGCTATATAGAGAAACCTTGTCTTGAAAAACAAGAAGGGATGGAGTCCATTGAAGAACTGGCCTAAGGGAGGTGGGTAGTTCATCTGTCAAAGGAAGGAGTGCTGTGTACGCAGCTCAAGATGCAGGGGCTGATCAATGTCATGCTGGGAAATCCAAATTTTCTTACTTCTGTTTTCTCAGTAAAATGAGCAAGGTCATCTGCTGAATAAGAAGATGTTTAAAATGATTGTTTAACAGAGGGAGTACCATAAGGTCACTCACGGATCAGCATGAGGTCTATATTGTTCATTGAAAACCTTAGGACCTTGGAAGGAACTGAGAGTATAACTTGGTTGGTAGAAAACTTGTCTAGCATGCAAAAAAAGCCCTTGGTTCATTCCCCAGTAATATATAAACTGGGCAAGGTGGTGCACACCTGTCATCCCAGCACTCAGGAAGTGGAGGCAGGAGGATCAAAGACATCCTTAGCCTAGGATGCATGAGAACTTGTCTCCAAAAATTATTTTTAATCAAATAAAACAAGACAAATATATATATATGATTGTGTCTTCCAGTCACATTCACCTGTGTGGCTCAAGTGACAAGCAGAAGGATGTAAGCCAGTGGTGTAGTTTTGTTAAGGGTGTACAATTTAAAGAGAGAGCTTGGTTGAACATGTGCACTGAGTGAAGCTGTCGTGACAAATGCCAAACTTGAGGAAGCCAAGGAAGAACGAAGCACTTGGGTTAATGGTCTTGAAGAACTGACGGAATCAGGACACTGTGAACTAAAAAGAAAGGGTGTAGCAATAAAAGTAGACTTGGCACATTAGATACTGTTGTAGTCACGTGACAATGGGGCTAGGCAGGAAAATCATTGACTATAATGGACCCAGTAGTTAATAAACAGGGTATTTCAGTCACTGAAAAAGATGGCTGAAAGAATGGAAGAGAGAGGGAGATACTCAAGTTGCTTCAAGGAATGACTTGGTGCTTTTGATGATGTAAGGCCAGTGCACAGCAAGAAGCTGAACTTGAATGTGTGATATCAAAGGAACTGAGAATAAGACAGGAACAGTAGTCAAGAGCAATGGGGTACCCCCATTTAGCACATGGACTTGAGAGCAAAACCCCACATCATCCCCTGAAAGGAGTAACAGAGACAAGAGCAGGAAGGTAAGGGTAGCACACAGAGTACCTTCCTGTACCGAAGTCACTAGGACATAGGAGTAAAGGTTCTAGGTAGGCACCAGCTGGACTTCTCCATGTTCAATGTTGTGGAGGTGTTGTCTTCAGCAGTGGGGCCTTGCCATCAGTTTCTGGATACCAACCTATAGCCTTGTCAATAGCCTGGTTTATTTGGGGTTTCTCATGGGACCCCTTTGGTCAACAACCCAATTGGATGTGGCCCATCCCTGGTATTGGAAGCTTCATTTGGTGATAAGAGATGTACAGTTGGGGCTCTGTCTCTATTATTTGGTGATTTCATTTAGATCATCTTTATATATGTATATGTTTTAGGAAGCTTCTACTGTATTAGGGTTCCATACTACCATTCAAATGGCTCTTAATTTTAGTTCTCTCCCCCCATATTCCCTCCCTTGTTACTGTCTTCCCTCCCCTTCCCTACTTGAGATCCTCCCATTCCAGTCACACACCCATCCATCCATCCATATCTATTCTATTCCCTTTCCCAGGAAGATCTATCTTACCTCCTAGTCCCTATACCAATATATATACTCTATACCTAACCTCTGGTTCTACAGACTGTAGCTTGCTTATCATTGACTTAATAGCTAATATCCACATATAAGTGAATATATACTATATTTGTCTTTCTGAATCTGGGTTACCCCACTCAGGACTTTTTTTTCTAGTTCTATCCATTTATCAACAAATTTCATGATTTCACTTTTTTAACAGCTGAATAATACTCCATTGTGTAAATGTGCTACATTTTCTTTATTCATTCTTCTGTTGAGGGATATATAGGTTGTTCCTAATGACTGACCATTATGAATAGAGCAACATTGAACATGGTTGGTTGAAAAGGTGTCTCTGTGGTAGGATAAAGCATCCCTTGGGTATATGCTCAAGAGTAGTATAACTAGATCTTGAGGTAGATCAATTCTGATCTCCCTGAAGAACCTTCACACTGAATTCCACAGTGGTTGTACAAGTTCTCAGTCCCACCAGCAATGGAAGAGTGTTCCCCTTACTGCACTTGCTCAACAGTTTAAGTTATCATTTTTTTAATTGATCTTAGCCATTCTGATAGGTGTAAGATGAAATCTCAAAGTGGTTTAGACTTGCATATCCCTGATGACAAAAGGTGTTGAACATATCTTTCTCTGCCATTTGCATTTCCTCTTTTAAGAATTTTCTGTTAAGATCTTTACCCCATTTTTTAAATTAGGCTCTCTCTTAATATCAAGTTTAAGTTCTTTATAT